ATGTGGGGTAGGGGAGAACTTTGCAGAGTCGGGCTGAGGGTTGGACTCCGTGATCCCGAGGGGCTTTTCCAACCTGAGTGATTCTGGGGTTCTGTGAAATCACGCACACCACGAACCCCCCGGGTCTTCATCCATCAGCGTTGGGGCTTCCCTTCCTGCTCAAGCTGTAGTAGAGAGAACCAGCACTAGGTGTCAGCTGCATTTAAAATCTGAGGGAGCTGTGGGCAGCTCCTGCACCCAGGGGGGACCCTGGGAGGACAGCGAGGAGGCAGGGGGCTTCGCTCCTGGCCAGCACAGGGCAGGGAGAGGGCGAGTCACTGGTGCAAGCCAGCAGAGAAGTGCCAGGGAAGTAAAATTTCTCTTGTCTATGGTGATTTTCAATATCTACCAGGATATTATCTGAATTGCCCATCATTTGAGATTGTAGCTATTGGATTTATCCGGAGAGGTCACCTGGATTTTATCTGGAGAAGCCACCCGAGGCGCTTTGCAGCACGGAGCCTTTTGGCACTGGGCTGTTGGGCCATGCGTGTTTGCAATGGTCTCAGCACCCTCTGACAGGTATAATGGGGCTCCCACAAAATCCAGGGGAAGGCAGGAGGGCTTCCACAGGGGAAAACCCACCCCACACACCGCAGGGGCGGTGGACACACCGTGGGGCTGGTACTCCTGAGCAGCAGCTGCCGTGACGCTGCCAGGGCTCACGCGTGTTGGAGAGGAAGCACCAAATTCCTTCTGCCAAGGACTGTTAACAATAGCTTTCAGGAAGAGCCCTGGGTATTTCTGCCTGGCGTTACCACCCAAGCAGGGCAGGGCTGGAAGTCACACAAGGTGGCCCTGGCTGTAGTCATCATTGCCATGACTACCCGTGGGCTGCTGGAAGGGAGAACTGTGGTTTCACTCCTGAGCTCTGCTTGTTTTAGTAGCCCAAAGGCCACCCCAACTGTGGGACTGTAGCCCCAAGGCCACTCCAGCTGTGGGATCTCATCATGTTCAGCTGCTAATTGTGTGACCTCCTAAGGACAAGATGCCTTGGATGGCAGCAGATCCCTTGCCCCACACAGCGGGGTTGCTCTCTGGCTGGGTTTCATGGCAGCGAGGATAATGAGGATGGGCTGAGCAGCACAGCAGGAACCTCACTCCTGCAGCTCTCTGTGATGAGAAGGGGAGCATGTGGAGAGGAGATGTCCCCTCGTTACGGGCTGGGAGGTAGGCTCTCTCTCCTACTCACAAACGATGACCCCTTCTGCTGCTGTCATGGGTGAGCCACAGAGCCCCCAACCGCAGCAGGGAGCAGAACTCAACGCTTGCAACGGTGCTAGCCACTTCCCGGCATACGTGGAATAGAAATATATTGTGTTCAAGCTTAAGGGTGAATGTGGTTGTCCTTCTGCTTCTAAACAAAGACAGAGAGACCAGCCCTTTCCTTCACTGTGCTGCTCCCTGCCAACACGGGCTTCCCAGGTTCAGCTAAAGAGCCCAGAGAAGGAGCAGCTCTGAACTTCAGGTAGAGACCCATCTCTTCGGTCTCCAAGTCCTGTCTAGCTGAAGCTATGCCATGTCATGTGGGTTTTGGCAGGACTTTAGAAATCCCATGTCAGCTTGCCAAAAGATCTTCACCCCAGCCTTGCCACCAGAGATCCCCGTGACTGTATTTAATTAAACCAGAAACTCAGATTTGAAAAATCCCCCACAAATGTTGAAAGCCAGAACTCCGTGCCTGAAGTTCATGTCACCACTCTTTCAGCCTGTCCAAGCTATTAATTTCCTGTATTCGGAAAAAAAGGTATAATAAAATGCATGAGAAAACAAGAGGCATAATTAAAAGCATCAAAGTAAGTCCCAAGCAGGGATTTGGGGAACAGTGTGATAATATCGGAGAGGCTTAAAAATTTATTTCAGTCCTAAAATGCGAAGCAGAACAGGATTTTAAGTACAGAGCCTAGTGGCTGGAAAACTGGGATTTAGCCTCCATAAATAAACTGTGGAAGGCTGGATTATTTTGCGGTTACCGATACGTGTGGCTGAATGCACCTGGGGGCAATAAAACCACACAAAGCCAGGTCTAGGCGAGGGCACCTGCCCAAAAGCAGCACGACCACGGTGGAATCGCTTTACCAAGTCTCTGGCAAGCCGGGCTGGCTCTGCCGCTGCTGTGGGTGGCATCAAAGCGTGTGGGATGGTGGCAATCAGTGCAGAGGGAGCTGTGGCCCTTCTCAGACGCGGCAGCTGCTGACAGCTTCTCCCACCCTCCATACAAGCAGGAGCAGCCAGGCCGGCTCCCCGTGGCTCCTCTCTTCCTCTGCCTCTCCAACCCAGCTGCAGCCCTTTCCCCTTCTCCCTGCAAAAGGGCAGCCAAGCCCCGAGCTCTCCCCCACTGGAAAGGGCAAAATTGCAGTTCATGGGTGGTGGCGGTGGGGTGCTTTCAGTTGGCACCGTGTGGCAAAAACGTGGAAAGTGGCTGAGGGAGGGGGGATAAATGAAATGCAGGCACCTCTCCGGGCAGCAGAGATTTATTTATTCCCATAGGGATGAAGCGGAGGGTGCTAAAGGTCAGCCTTGAAGAAGGAAACCAGGCTGCTGCACACCCAGAGCAAACAGGACCTGCTGATTTGTGTGCTGAGTCAGCACCCGCAGCGCTCTTGTTGCTTTAGAAATACCATGTGCCTCTCCTTGCCCAGCCTCAAGTGGCTGAGGCTGAGAAAGCAAACGTCGAGCGTGCCCAGCCCAGCTGAGAGCAGGATTGGGGCCAAAGGGGTTTGGTGAAGCCAGAAGGGAGAAGCAGGGAGCAGGTGGAGGCTGGGGATCAGAAGGAGAGTGTGGGGGCAACTCCAGGACTCCCGTCCACACCCCAGAAAAAGGAACCTGCCCAGAGAGGTTGCTTGAGACTATTTGAGTGTCTCACGACATGGGGTACAAGTCCCCCAGGCCCCTGCAGGAGGCTGCTCTTCCAGGTCAGCAGCATCTGGTCTTGTTTGTTCCTTTCCTTCTGTTTTTAATTCCTGGGTTTCTCTTTGCTAGCCCCCTCATTTCACTCTGAAGTGTTTTCCTGAATGACGCTGGTGAGACCAAATAGAAGAGTAGCTTGGCATCGTGCCCGCCTGTCGTTGTTTGAATATAGGTGCAATCGGAAAAGCGTGGAGGCAACTGGAAGGAAAGAAGCCAGCGGCGAGAGGGGGGAGCGGGTAAAGAAGCAGAGAAGCCTGGAGATGTTGAAAACGGTTCAGCAAAATAATAACCCAAAATGAAAAACCAAAGGGAGCATAGTAAGAAGCAAATTGTTAAGGTTAAAAAAATAAAAAAAAAAGACATAAGACATTCTGATGGTGGTATTGCCCTAGTGAAACGGCAGAGTTACAGCTCGTCCTGAATTTGGGGAAATCCCAGGTGTCACAGTAATTTGTAGTGTAGGTGGTGATGATGACTTTTCAGCAGTGACAGAGGCAGACTGTTGAACCCGCAGCTTCAGGTGACCCACACATGGGGCTATGTAAAGGCTGCTCAAGGTTTCTGACCTGTTACATTGATTTTTTAGGAAGTTTTGGAACACTAGGGAAGTTCTGGAGGACTGGAAGATGCTGATGAGCGGTCAGTAATTAAAAAGGAGAGTTTGTAAAGCTCCATCAGGCTGTTGTCAGTCCCATAAACAACAATTATATGGAACTTTATTAGTAGGAAATTAAGGGAACGTAAAAGAGTTAATGTCGGCCAGCATGGTTTTAAGGGAAATAGAGTCTGTCAGGCAAACTCGATATCATTTTTAAATGAGATTATGAGCTGGTAATAGACGTCTTTGATGCATTTGTTTTGGTACTGCATGATGATTTGATTAATAAATTAGAACAATACAAATTCAGCATGCTTATGTCAGTGACTGGTAAGAATAAATAAACTTCTTGTAGACAGGCTTTCAAATGGTACAAAGTTTCTGTGGCAGCAAATAATTAGGGCAAGTCCCAGACTGCTCAGTAAGCCAGATGCAAGCAATGAATATTCATGTGAAGGTGACCAAAAGCCATGTGTCCAGGGACAAAGGATGTAGCTTTTCTTACAGAATGGAAAATTTTATCCCAGACGGCAGTGACCTGAAAAGAATTGAAGGTGACAGCGGGTAATCAGCTGGACATCAGCCTTGGCGTGACCCTGTGGCCAGCAGGACTGGCTAATGGCACCTGAGGTGGCACCAACACTGTGTTGAGGAGGAGCAGATGGATTATATTCTCTTTGTGATTGTTACCACAGCCACTGCCCTGTCCACTTCTGGCACCCACAGACTAAGGAAAATCTTGAAATACGGTGATTTTTGCAAAAACTGCGTCAATGAGTAAATTACTGGAAGATGTGCCTTAGAGTAAAAGGCTCCAAGAACTCCATCTGTCCACTGATGAAAGAAGAGGTTGGTTGATCCCAGACCTCAGGACCATAGGTGAACACCAA